CTTTTTCGGCGGCGCACATCCACAGCCGGTGTCTCTGGCTCAAGGGCTGGAGCAACAGAATTGGATCGCAGTGGTCGGGTTGGTGCGGCTGAAGATGTAGGCGGTTTCGCTGCAGACTTGGAGCGGGGAGGCATGTTGCTGGTAGTGGATCGAATTTGGAAGCGTGTAAGCTTGGAAGGATGCCCCAAATTCGGTCGAGTTCTGGGAGCATAAGGGGATGCAAGGGATCAGCTTCAAAGTCTTGACCTTGTCAACTGCTCAGTACTCACTGCCGACGTGTGTAGGATCTGCCTGGATCTTTCTTGGCCTGTGGAGCCGCTCGGACAACATCTCAGAGGGTCAGAAGCTATCGAGCGGACTTCCGATGGTCGCATGGCTCACGCATGACTCCATTTTTGGCTTCTCCGGGCGCGCACGCCCGCTCTTGCGGCCAGTGCCCATGTCAACCCGGCCTTGAGTGTTGGAGTGATTTGTGAGGGAGATTCACACAGGGAACTCAGAAATACGATGTACACTACTCGCTAATATTGTCCTTTGCCCATGACCCTCGTCTGGTTGGATGCACCAAACGAGCGACATGGGCGTGGACGGAAAGGCAGTTTAGTCACAAGATGTGACGCTGTCGCTATGTCATGCCTCCTTGATGGTCGATATCAAGGCAATCAGTGGAGTAATGATCCGACCCGCATGGCTTACAATTGCTACATTGGATCCGTTTCTTCTTCATTCCTTCGGACACGATAAGATGTGCGGGCTAAATAGCCACCGAGAATACATGTGAATAATCTAATTTGATACACTGGGCTTCACGTGGACACTGCGGCCGTCGGGGATTCGCTCACAACTCCGATCTCAAAATTGGTGCAAAGCAGCCCAAGAGTTCCCACTGTCTCGTTGATAGCCCGACAGAGTGATCCAAGCGGGAAAGTGTTTGTCCTGTTTGCCCATACCCATTGCGCATCTGGACGGGGCTCCGCAAACTGCACCACCACCCTCGACGGATCGAACGATTGGGGCTGGACTTCGGCGTATTTCCCGATGTCTGCGTCAGATTTGGCGCAATCGTGACCGATGATAATGACCCGTCCACGTGCAGCACTGATACAACGTCCATCGGTAAGCGTTCTGACTGGCTCGAGACATTCTGCCGGGACAAGCGCGTCGGTAAATCCACCCAGCCGAATCTGCACAAATTTCAGCATGAACGCATGCCGGGACCAGTTCATCTTCTGTGAGGGCATGACAATGCCGGTCTTCTCCGCATGCTCAAACGTCTTGCGATTAAAAGACAGGAAGTAGCGACCCTTCCCGCGCCCATTTATCTTAGCAGCGTTTTTTGCACTCTCAAGTGCTGCAACGGACTTGACCTTCACATCGATTCGCTTCCCTTGGAAGGCAGGGTTCGCCAACCACAAGTTATCGGCAGCAAAGACATCTAACGCTGGCGGTGAGTGCTCTGGTGCTGGTCAGGGATCACGGACTGACCTAGTTCAGAGATAGGCTCCTGCGTCGCCGCGTCGAGACCTGGTGGTGGAGTGGACGGGCGGTGCATTGCCTTGATGAGTTCGGATAGGTCACCGAAGAACATGCCCTGTCGCAAAGGTAGTAAGACTCTAAGACAATGCGCATGTGTTAATAGCATTCCAGTCTCAGCAACAGCAAAGCACTCACTCAGGGTGGACAACCTGATCCAAGCGCGCGATAGCCGTTGCTCCCCCGTCGAGGTAAATGATCAACTCCACATTCCGCTCAAGCTTAGATTCTGGCTTAAGGGTTGGTCGTTTCGAGCGCTGGATATGTTTGTAGCCAGCAATCACACCGACTAGCCCCTTCTGGATGTGTTGACCAACAATCATGACGCGTTGACGGGTGTAGCCCCGCCCCGTGTGGAACAAGTCTCGCTCGATCTTGGCTTGCCTCTGGTCCTTCTCGAGAGCGAAGCTAATGTACTCTGGATCGACCTCCATGGCTTGCCAGCCATGGCCACGTACTCGTTGGTATCCGGTGGTGTCTGGTGGAAGGAGCGTGATTTTCCAATCTGGGACTCGAATCTGCACTGATGTTCAAGCACAGGCTATTGACAGTTCACCTTGGTCACCCCCCAAATCCTACCAGTTAGGTAGGTTTTTCCAGCGCCCAAAACCTACCTGAGTGGTAGCGGGCGGATGGGCGGCGGGCGTTCATTTCGCAAATTGCGATCCTTGGGCGGCCCATTGTTCACGGTTCCAGGCGCCCGTGGGCGGCAGCCCGGGCAGACCCAACCCCGCCCGGGGTCCTAGCGCACGCAGCGCTAGAAATTTTTGGCCATTTTACGTCCCGTTTAGGAAGTTAAAGTCGATTTCTATTGCCTTCGTTGCACACAAAATACATTTGTTGTTTCCTACTTATCACCCGTGTGTACACGATGCCAATTAAATATCCGTGTAGCTTTTTTGCATTCAATCAATCATCGATGCTGAAAATCTCTGCATCAGGGGGCGGCGGCCTGCGTCGCGATTCTCGCTGCGTCCGCGCCCACTCGTCCACATCTATGACTTCGCCCAGACATTCTGCTTTTTCAAGCTTTTCCCTCTCAATTCTTCTGTGCTCTTGATCCAATAATTTTGTCATTGAGACTATGCACGCGTTTATACCGCAAGCCTTACCTTTTTCGAACGCCCTCTTCCGTTCGAACGAACGCGCTTGTTCCAGGTGTTTAAGTAATCCCATTTGTTTATTTTGAACCTGGCAAGCTTACCTCGCGCACGACGTTCTGCGAGATGGTGCTCAAATTCGTCCTCCGGCTCTCGCTCGCTCTCGCTCTCACTTTCCTCGCTGTCCTCCGTCTCCGGTTCCTCGTTGTCGTCAGATCGGATGATTGCTCCGCCCCACCCATGGCGGATTCTCCGCACTCGGCGCCGAGCCCTACGAGCGGCCAAACGGACCGTATTTCGGTATCTCTCCTCAGGCGAAACGTGCTGTCGACTCGCGGCCCTGAATGGCATTGCATCAGAGCACTCAAATTCTGGACTGGGGGGACGGACTCACTGCATGCGAGGAGGGGGAGAGGGAGTGCGTAACACCCAGCGGGCACGTTTCTTTTCAAGCTGCCTGGGTGTCAGGGGTTTGAATCTGCAAATGTGAGCAATGGCAGTGGAGCGCGTTCGGTACAAGACGGACCTGTAAGTATTGCGCCGCATCGTCCGTGGTTGAAGGCAAAGTTGAACAGTCACGGTCACCGTGACAAGGGTCATATAGAGGGTCGCTGCCGGTTATGGGCACGGCATCAGGAGGTGCCGATTGATCCTTCGTTGGTCGGCCGGTGCGTGGGCGCCCGTGAAGAGATGTGGGCGCCCGTGTCGTAAGTCTGGGCGCCCGTAGTTTGCTGTGGGCGCCCGTGATCAAGTGTGGGCGCCCTTGAATTGTTGTGGGCGCCCGTGATGGGATCTGGGCGCCCGTGTCATAAGTGTGGGCGCCCGCGATGGGATCTGGGCGCCCGTGTCATAAGTGTGGGCGCCCGTCACTGGTGTCAGGGCAATCAACACAATACAGTGATACAGTACGGGGAGCATTCAGTTACATCATGGCACGTAGGAAGTTAATAATGTGCTCAGTGAACTGATCAAGTGAACAACATGGATTCAAGCAGACGTGTTGTGACTGTGATTATTACTAAACAAGTTCTGGGAAGCCAGCATTGGGAGACGACTCGGCAACAGTAGTGCAAGGAGGCGCTAGCTCCGCTGCGCCAGTAACGTTCTCAATCCCATCACCAAACGGCAACAACCCGATGGAGTGGTCGGGCTCTATAGCAGACGTCAGAATGCAGCGCGCTGCGCTTAGTCGGCATGCTCACTTGGAAGCTTCTCCACGAGGCGCTGGAACTTCTGTAGCACCTGGTGTAGTTGGTGCAACTCGACGTCGTCAACAGACTTCACCAGATCCAGGAAGGCCTTGCGAGCCTTGTCAAGTTCACGATCCTGAGCGATGCGCCGAGTGATGTCCTCTGTAGGCGTGGTCCTCATGTACAGCTGAGTGTACGCCCGCGGAGCCGCTGTATCAAGGTCAATTTGCCATAGGAGGCTATACTCACTGATGGCGCAGCGCAATTCTGAGCACGATGTTGGCAAATAGAAAGGATTGGGAAAGTCATCTTCCACCACAACCATAGGCCGCGCTATAAGTTGTGCACTGGTTAGTTATCTGGTTCTTCTTCAGCTGAAAGCAAGTACCGCTGTGCCGCAAGCAATCTGCGTTGGTCAAATTGATACCTCCATCGGCCGCGCACTGACACTGAAATGTATTCAACTCTGGAATGGGAAAACGAGCGAAAACCCACGCACACGGACTGCATCATTGTCGTATTGTCCATTGCGCTCCATTGCATCGCACCCTTTGCAACAGGGGGACGGTGACACAAATTTGTCCCCACGTTTAGTGTAATAAGCACAGTACCATTTAGGCATGAGCAGCTTGCACTGTTCGCATTCTGCAAAGGTTTGGTCCGGTACCGAGCGCTCATATTCGTCAAGTGTGATGAGTGAGAACTGTTGCACTTCGCAGCCCAGGATCTCCTTGCGGTCCCGACTACCGGTCAGAAGGTGAACGTGGACACGTACACCTTCTGTAGGCTTGGCGATGGGAGGAGGTTGGTGTCGGTCAGTGCGCATGGGACTGGCACGGGCAGACAACGAGACAGCGGTTGTCCGGAACGGCGGCATAGTAGACGCAGTGTTTTTGCCACGTATGAGGAAGAGGATGGGGATAAAAGCGCGATACGGTTTTGGCCCCTGTAATAAGAGTGAGGACTGAAGTACTATCGGCGATAATCAAAACATGTGACAACGCACCCGCAGATCTATTTCCGAGCGCCTAGTTGGATTACCCAGCAGAGGCGTGATCGATCATGACCACACGTTTAGTACCAGACGACCAGCTGTGTGTATCGGGGGATGCCATGTGCTCAGGTACAAAATGAAATTGACCGAGGCCGAAGTGGATGTGAAGGTGTCGACGCTACGCTATGATAGTAGTTCCTCATCCCAGACGATGCCGCCACGCTCGAAGGCCTCCAGCTCATCGTAAGGCAGAGACTCGCCGTTGGACTCAGTCTCACTACCGGAGTCCTTGTCCCCATTGGTATCCTTCCACTCGTCGTTCCCCCAGCTTGGGGCACCATCTCTCGTACGGGCAGATACATCTTCGACGCGAATCTGTAGTACATCCCTATCTGAAGGACCCCAAGGGGGGAGGCCCTCGGTTGGGTACGGGATTTGTCGCAGCGGCTTCTCCCATGCTGCGGTCAGTTTCGTCAATTCTGACTGGCGAAGCTTGAGCTGGAAGACGACTGCCTCTTCATCTACACCGGACGTCAGCTATGATTGTTCATCCGTTGGCCGAACGCACGTACTAGCCTTGCCTGCCAGTTGCAGGGCCCGCCCAACAACGTCCCACTCCTCTGCCATCCACCAGCGCAGCGCCCGGCACTCGTGATGTAGACGTGGCTCTTCCTCGTCACATCGGTCCCGTTCGAGTAGAGCCTGAATGCCCTTGCGGACAGAATCGCTGCTCATCCACAACGGCGGGTCAACCTCCTCGTCGATGTCTGTCAAACCAATGTCCAGCCAGACATCAGCATCGACATCCAGCCCCCAGATGTCCTTCTCATTGATTGGTCCAGGTGCCACCGCGTTCCGTGGGGCACGGTGGAGATCGATGAGCTCCTGCAGTTGTTCGCACAAGTTGTTGTAGAGTTTGCACAGATCTTTGATACTTCGGTCGCGTTTGACTGCGTCCTCGATGTGAGTTGTCAGTTTCGCGTCTTGAGAAGTTTCAGGTTAGTCAGCACTTGCTATCGGCAGAAAGAAAAGAAACACCATGCCTGCTTTGTTCCGGTGGAAGTGACGCTCGACCCGATCGAGCTCAAACTTTCTCTGCCTCAAACGGCTGCGTAACTTTGTCTTGGCGGCGGCAGCATTCATCCGCACCTGGATGTACTTGCTCTGCACCATCTTAGACAGATCGGCCTTGTCTTCCACTCCCATCGTCGCCTTCTGCTTGCGCACTGATTCCGCCAACTTGCTCAGCTTCTCATGTGCTTTAGCGTACTCTTGCTCTGCAAAGTGGACGTAAATAGGATCCGCGTCTTCTTTGAAGATGGTGTCATTCCACTGAGACATCTGCGCCTTCAGTTTGTCCATGAGAAGCGTCTTCCGCAGCACGTCTTGGACGGCGAGTTTGCCTGCATTCTTTGATTGACCTGTAATGTCGGAAACGAATTAGCTAGCGCTGAATGGAGGGAACTTGTGGCTGACGCGGTTGTGGCTTGGACATTGCCGCAACCTGCTTGGCGTGCTCTGCCCGAAGGACCAGTTCTTCATGTGGACATTGACTCAGGGCAGTATCAGCGTGTCGTCAATGTGAGCGACAATCTTCGTAGCGCCGTGCTAACCAGGTTCCTAATCGTGAGAGGTTTCCTTTGTGAAGATGGATCACTTGTGCATCGAGCGTATAGCGGCGCTTGTGATACTAGAGGTAGGGGTGTTAGCATGGGTCTGATAATGACATTATCTAGAGCGCATACCCCGCAAACACGAAGAAACGATACCAAATGGCTAAGAGAGTGCCAGAAGCGTTCCAGCGACTCTCCATCAGAAAACCCGAAATGAGTGCGCCGTCTCGGATGATAAACTGCTTGGCAAGCAGCGCCATGCCCGTACAAGTGCAGGACAGACACTGCCCACTCTAATCTCTCCATGTACGCGGGGGGAAGAAAGTCGAACTTTACTGCTGACCGTTGCAACTGGCAGGCGATGTTGTACAGGAAACCGACGACAAAGTCGGTCGGCAAGTGCTGGAGCAAAGCTTCAATGAGGGCGAACATGTAGAACTGGCGTTCGCCAGGCGTCTTGATGTTTGCCAGGAAGAGAAGGTTGTCGTGACGACACGACAAGCCCATGAGCCCCTTATCGTCAAAGAACTGAGAACTGCTCTTTGCTCTGGTCTCGTCTGCTGCAGCGAAAGACCGCTCGCACTCATTGAGCACAGATCGCGGCAGAGGAATGGACGGTGCTTCGATCTCGTCATCATCATTGGCCTCTTGTGTTGGTGCAGCCGCTGAGCCCGGAGCAGGACGCGTGGGACGGATCCCTTCGACCCACTGAGCCATCTTTTCCGTCGCTTCATCGGGTAGAAAAGAAGACTTCGGATGCGCGCGTACCGGGTCTTGCTGCCCCCGATCCTTGTTCCTTTTTTGCGTAAAGCATGCATCTCCGCAAACGATGCAATGCAGCGCCATTCGTGCATCTTCCCATTTGCCACCAAAGCATGCGGGACATCGGCCACGCAGATATTCGCTGGGTCGGACACGGTCTTGAGGCGTCAGGAACGGGTAGATCGGCCCGGCGGTGCCGGATGACTCAGCGATGGGGGAGGATGGACCTGGAGAAGACGACTGCTCGGGGCTGGGGCCAGGTGATGAAGACGGGGGCATGAACGCCCGGGTCGGAGAGGAAGACAGTGCTCGGGTGCGCTTAGTCGGAGAGGATGGTGGGGACGACTCGAGTTCTCTGCGCCTTCTTTTGCGCGGAGATTCTTCAGCACCGCGGTGGGGTGAGGGAGTAGGTGTTGATGGCCGTTCGCAATGTTCCTCTTCTTCGCGCATCTCCTCCCGCACGCTTTGAAGTATGTCGTCCATCGCCTGGTCTGTCCGGTGACGCAAGATTGTGTAGTACTCGAGGGTGTTACCAAATTGACGACGCAGGGATTCCTGACCGCAAGCACGTCAGCACCCGCAGCTCACAGGTAGATGCCATACATACTCGGTTAGGCAGTTTGTACCCCAGATGATCGAGGCACTGCTCGATCGTCTTCGTCAGCGCACGGTTGTTGGGTGCTTGATTGAGGAAGAGATCTTGCGCGAAGTCCAAGACTCTCATGTCGATGGCCAGATGGGGTTCGATTGGTGAGCTGGGGAATAGGCCACGAGCGACAAGTTGAGGAGCTGCTGGACAGCACGCGCAGTAGGTCAACAACGTTCGTTGCACATCTGCAACGCTTCAGTACGTGTCATGACAGCGCGGGACAGGCACGAAGACCTACCGTGCCAGCTGAGCAAGTACACTTGCACGTCTCGCTGTCTGCCGCAGATACATTCCCTTGTGTATGGCATGACCCGTTCCAAGTGTCGCAGCCGCTCGGTGCGGCGCACCAGGTCTGCATACACTGGTAATATGACCGGAAAGACTTCCTCCATCCAACGCCTGGTCTGCTTTCCTCGCAGACGAGAATGCGTTGTCTGCGGGCCTAACGGTGCAACATCGCTGCCAATATACGCCATGTACATCTCGGGAGCATCCTCAGGTGCCTCTCCATCTGCGTCTAGGGGCGGGGGCCGATCATCAAGCTCTTCTGCCCGTCGAGTGTTAAGGGCGAACCCAGCCTGACCAGGGGGAGGGCGCACATAGTCTTGATAGACTGTCTTTCCATCGGCAAGATACACGGGCGGTGGACGCCAAGCGCCGCGGCGTCGTGAGGGTTGGGCGGCGCTCAGGGCAAAAGCTGTGTGCTTGGTGGGACTGGCGGACTTGCGACGCGCGGTCGGCATGTCGAGTACGTTTGGGATGCTAGGGCGGATTATGGTCAGTGATACATTTCCGTGCTTTCGGACTGGTCTGAAGCTTACAGTGTCGTGGCTTTCTTCACTGCAGCCTCAGTGCAAGTCCCTGTTCCCTTAACTACGTATGTGAGTCTTTTGTATTCCACTGTCAAGATGGCGTACTTAGGATTTCTATTCTAAGTCTACATGAACTATGGCAAGCGATATAGAGGCATAGTATAGGCAACAAGATCAGAAATAATGTATGTTCATGGTCGGGAGCAAGGGCAGATGTTGCACAGCCACCTGATGATCCCAAGATGAGCATTGGTCATGCTCATCTTGGGATCATCAGGTGGCTGTGCAACATCTGCCCTTGCTCTTGACCGCACAATGCCCGGTGAGTCTCTGACGTTGCGTATGGACCTGTCGCACAGTAGTTAGACTGCGGCTGAAGGCTACGGTCCCAATGACGATAAATCACACCCTGTATAAGTTCACGAAAGAAATCCTTGTAAACGGAAGCATCAGTCCACGGCCAGAGGCACACGAGACTGACATCGCTTAGCCCCGCTCCCTCCTGAGCCCCGCCTCGCTAAGCCCCGAACTGCGAACTGAAGTCGTTGTCATTGAATAGCTGGTACTGCAGGAAGTTCAGATCTAGCCCATCACGCGTCCTCTGGCACTGCTGACGCCGAGGGCCCCTGCTCCCCAGCCGACATGGTGCGTAACCATTGAGATCTCTCAGTGGTGGTCGTTGGTACTAACATTCAGCACCGGTCAGTCGTCTCTAACTACTCCGCCCCGCCTTACAACTCCGATGTCACCTCCGGGCCTTTTCAGTCCTGAGCCGCTGTTTTTGTCCGGGACTGTGGGTGACGCTCCTTCCGCTTCTCTGACACGATATTGACTGACCGAATACAGCCATCTCCTCCTTCATGCTCCCCCACTCTGATTCCGATGTCTCCAGTCAGCGGCGTGAGTCAGCTGCACTTAGGTGCCGACATGCTTGAAGAGCAGACATTGCCACCCTCAGCTCTCCCGAACGAATCACGTTTGATCGCAGCAGCTCCTGAGGTTGAGCAGCACACCAAGACGTTGTCAGGCAGTGCGACACAAGACTCGACTGTGATCTGCGGCCAGGACAAACCGCAGGTGCGTCCGCTCTGATGAACGGTCCTAATTGTCAGATCAATACCTCATAGTCTAGTGAACTGGAATCGCTGCTTCTGAACGTTCCTCGAGCGTTGGTATTTGGCCCAGCCGATCCTATGGTGCTCGGATGGGGTGCAGTGGAATCAGTAAGGTCATCTGCACCTAGTTGTGGACGTATCCGAAAGCTTTGCAGACTTCGTCAAGTATCCGTGTGGAAGGAAACCATGGCAAGAAGCGGCGTATCGAGGCGCCTCCTCAAGCAAACAAGGGCAGGGTGCTGCAATACCTCAGCCTGGAAGCCCAGGAGGTGGAAGATGAAGAGGATCTCGACGACGATTATGATATGGGCGATTGGATTGTCTCGGAGGAGGAAGCAGACACTCAGGAGTCAGATATCGAAGACGACCAACAGCGCGGCTTGCCTCAGCCTCCAGTCGTCTCCCAAAAGGAGGCTGCATCGATCCACCACTCCCTCGAGATGATAGCTGCTCAGTACTCGCAGACCTTGCGGGCCGAGATTGCGTCAAGATCCTCCGCTGCTGTTATGCCTACGGACGAATCATCAGTTCCGGAGCAAGTCGCGGAATCTCAGAACCTGATCACAGGCAGCTCCCTCCGTTCTGGACCGAGCGACGAGACAATGGCGGCTGCGGATTACATGTACCGCATGCCGGACGATTCGCTTGATCCCCCCCTGTATCCATTGGTGGTCCCTCAAGGTCTCGAGCCGGACGCCACTCGATTCCTGTCCCATTACGACTTCCTCGACTCGGTCTTCTTCCCTAGGCATTTTGGGGGCTTCGTTTATGTGGAGACTCGTCATCGCGCCTGGCTGTCTAAAATTCTGGAGCAATGGCAATACTTTAAGCCTGGCATGGTCAAGGCTCCAGTGCGCGGCTCCAACAAGAAACGTCTTCTCGCATCACCCCCCAGTGCACTTGTCGGCACGTTTGTGCGGCTCAATACCGGTTTGTATGCAGGCGATGTCGGGTACTTGCACAAAGACGATGATGGCGCCATGGAGCAATATGCCTTGGTGGTACCTCGAATCCGAGCACCAGGGCAGCGGACAAGACCTGTGCCCGCCTTGTTTTCGGTTCATCGCGTTCAAGATCGAGACATGTACCCCGGCAATGAGTGTGGCCGTGACGGCCATTGGATTGTCTGGAAGCATCGATATTTTACAGAGGAGGGACTGGAATACATCAGATGCGGGCAATATGGACTTCGACAGCGTCCAACGCCCCCCACTGTCACTGAATTGGCGATGTTTCGGGACACCCACAACAATCTTCTGCATGCCCCCAGCTACGATCCTCTGCAGACTGGTGTCCAAGTCGGCGACATGGTGCTAGTTCACGACCCTTTATCTGCCTTTCATCGCTACGCTGGCACCTTGGTTTGCGTACCACCGAGCTCTAAATTCGGCTCTGCTGTTGGGGCTGTCTTTGTCGACTACAATGGGACAGACGTTGTCACAGCAAAGAGCGCCAATCAGGAGCAATGCTTTGTAGTGCCGATAGCATCTCTGTGTCGACATGCTTTGTGTCCGCCTCGCCCGATCAGTGAACACTCTCGTATCAAGGTGTTTGGCCATCCGTCGTTGCACCTGGCATCGGGCTGTGTTTCAGGCTTGCATAACGGCGCCGACCAGCTCGAATTCCAGGGTGTGCGGCCAAATGGAGAATATTGCCGCGGACAAGTCAAACGACAGCACTGCACCCTCGAGTTCCGAGCGGGAGATGTTGTCGAGATCATGAGTGGCGACAAGCAGGGCGTTGTTGGCTTCGTCCTTGCGACTCACATCGGTGGGGCTGTGGACATCTACCCAGTCAGTCTCCCCTCCAACCGGAATAGCTCAACTCTAATCTCTTGTTAGTGTCAAATCGATGAGATTCAGCAGCATGTCAAAGGCATTTTCATCAGAGATGAGCACCGGGTAAGCAAAGCACAATTTGACTCTGTATTTGGCACTGAAGTAGCTACTTGCAGGTGAATAATGCGGCATATCTGTCACGAGAGGATCTCACTGTACGTACAATCACCAGAGTGCTGGCCCATACATATCATCGTATCTAACCACGTTGCAGATACGTGTCCCCGATCGGACTATTGTGCTGGTTCCGGTCGACACGACCGGATACCAGCGAGCGCGTGGGCATAGCTGGATGGCTAAGCAGGTCGATCCAGAGCATGTCAAATTTGCTCTCGAGCAAGACTTGCGCAGAGCAAAGCTCGAACAAGACCTGTTCCATACTGGGATAGGTTATTTGGGCCAGCGCGTCATGATCGTCAGGAAACACCCACAGAAGGGGCTCATCGGCACCGTTGTTGGGTACAAGCACCTTAAGCGATCCGAGAAGCCTACCACAAAGGGGCAATCCAAGCTGGAGCGCGATGTTGAGTTGACAGTAGATATGGAAGGCGGCGGCAGGACCACATTGCAATTGGACCAAGTTGTCCACCCTGAGTGCGTGTACCATTTATGTGTTAGCTGCGCACTTTGCTGACCCTCGTCACAGAGCTTTCTTGCCCTTGCGACAGGCAATGTTCTTCGACGATCTAGCCCGTCTCATCAAGGAAATACAGCGAGAGACCACTCCGCCACCGGATCCTAGCGCGGAGTCGGTTCAAGAGCCCCCAGGCGAGTCTTTCTATATCGCCAATCGCTGATATCTGATGCAGTTGTCAGACGTTTTTTTGCGCGATGCCCTGTGGCTGGCGCACCTAGGCTTGTGGGAGAAGCGCGTCGACGTCCAGGTCAAATCGGCGGACGCAATCATGGCAGCCAAAGACAGGGAGAAGTACCGCATGAAGGGCAAAAAAAGCCGCTATCTTCAGTCTTTCAATGACAAGACATTGCAGCAGGCTGGGAAGACAGGGATTGTAATGCCCTCTCAAAGCATGTCCTGGACGCGGCACGACTTCATGCAAAAATTCGTCCGAATTCGCGTGGGCAGCTTCCAAAATGCCTATGTGCCGGCGGAGTGCCTGGAGCCGATAAAGGTATTGCCCGATGGTCGCTGCATTAGCACGGTGCGCGGTCGGGTGATTGTAATTGGATTCGACTGCGATAAGAAGGACGGGGATATTGGCAAATACGCCGAAGTCATACCCGAGTCTTCTGAGCCATCAAGGGTGCTAGTCCAGTTTGCGGAGCCAATAGAAGGCAGGAACAGGACGAATACATTCCCCATCGACTCGCTCTGCCGCTCTACCAACGAGTCCGCACCCGCATTGGGATTCTGGGCAACCGACTTCACGATCGGGGTTTCTGACATAGACGGCGCATCAACAGTGGCCATGGCCATGTGATAAAGAATTTAGATCTCACTAATCAAATGTATTGTATGCTTGGGAGCAATCAGTTCTGATCAGTTACTTACACACACATCTGCTATAATACTTATCATGGGCTTCTCAATGAGTAATCAGATGGCTGCGCCACATGCCGGTTTGATGGCCTTGGCAAAGACCATCAGGGCAATGTAACCCAATCAGTGACGACGCTCCGCGTGACAGAGGTCTCTTATCGTCAGCGCTCATGTCGCCCGCCAGGCACGACACACCCAGCGGGCGATCTTGCGAGGGACGCATATTGTCTGTAGATGTAGTGTAAATATACAGAAGCCTAGTGCACATGAAATCCGTCTAACGCATCGGGGTCACGCATTAGGAGGCACCGGCTAACAACACTTGGACATCGCTGCAGGGTGTACGGTCTAAAGCGGTTGGACGAGATCGGGTGTCAATTGCGCACATGGCAAGGAACAAGTCAGTCAATTCACGTTGTTGAATGAAAAGCCGCCAACCTTTTTTTTCCTCGACAGATCGCACCGAGCCACACACTCCCC